TATCACATGATAAATTTACTTACAAATTCATTCCTTCTTTCATTTGGATTTTAAATATCCAATTATATATGACATACTGTATGTTCACCATATCGTTCATCCAGTTTCTAGATTCGATGACTTGTACTTATGTTAGACTCTTTTCAAGTGGTACATCACAGTTTCTCTAATCGTGTTGGTTACGTCGAAAACGCGGCACAATCCCACTAAATCCAACGACTCATGTCCTTAATTCTTTGAAACTGTTCGATGTCTTTATTTGGGTCATAATTATATGTAGGAAAATAATAGTACGTTAGTAAATGTTATCCTTAAGTATACCACTTATATCAACTAATTTTACCATTAATGTTATTTTGTTTTGTGCGAGTTATCTTCTTGCGAGGTGTCTATTATAAGGTTCCACCGTATTGATTAAACATTATTTGTTTTTCGTTTAGTAAGAAATTTGTAAGTTTGTTTGAGATTATAGGATAGATAATCTATATATTATATACCCTTTTTCAATATTAATCATTAGTTTATTAAGAAATAATTTATGTGAAGTAGAAATTTTCTTTTTCTTTTGTTCAAAACTATTTTGATAGTATACAATATATTAATATAAAAATTTATAATATTAAATTATATTACTAATTATCATTGACGACTTCTTTATCTGCCATCTGACACATCTAAATTAAGTATAGCTTTTTAATGATAATAATACATAATAAATAGTATAATATAAATGAATTTATATTTACTTACTTTCTTATATTTTTGATAAGGAAAAGCGAAAGCAATTTCTATATCTTTTTCGGGAAATATCCATTCTAAAAATTTCCACACAAGATAATCTATTGCTACCATTATACAAAATATTTTACCTGCCCATACTCCGCACCCATAATACCTCCTTAATCTTTCCATTAATGGTGGAATTCTCATTTGCCATATTGTATCATAGACCTAAATTATAATACGTAAGTTTATATTTAAACAAAAAAAAAAAATTTATTTTTAAAACCATTTCTTACTTTTTCAGTTCTTTCAGCAACGTTAACCCAACTATACATTTCTCTAATTTCATCATGAAATTTGATTGGTATAACTTCTTTAAGTCTAATCATTTCAATAGCTCTTGCTACCGCATTTATTAAATCATCTTCCTCAGGTTTAGCAAAAATTATCATGTGCTTCGGAAGTACTTCTGGCACTCCTCCAACTTTAGTGCTTACAACAAGCAATCCACAACAAGCAGCTTCCACTATTCCAATACAAAATGCTTCCGTTAAGCTTGTATTTAAAAATATCTGTCCTTTAGTTAAAACCTGATTAAATTATTTTCAAGTTTAATTAATATAATAAAAATAATCCTATTCATAAATTTCATAAAGGTTACACGTACATTTCTCACTTCATGATGCATTACTGCACCAAGCAATTCGACACGATCATGAAGTAAATATTTCTCTCTCATTTGCTCTAAATCTATTCTCTTTGGACCATCTCCGCCAATGATGAATTTAACTTTAGGATGCATTTGACATATTCTTGGAATTGCAGCTACCAACAAATCCAATCCTTTTCTATAAACCAATCTACTTGCAACTACAATAGTAACTGATTGAAAATAAAGTAAATCTGAAATAAAAATTATGAAACTTTGTCAAGAATCTTTAAAAAATCTTACTGAAATTAGGATCTTGTGCACCGGGATCCGGTTTGAATTGTGAAGCAACAACGGCATTTGGTATAACTGATACCATTTGAGGATTCAATGCCGCTCTAAGCACCGTATTTTCTTTACTAAAAATCATAATAAGTAGTAAAAATAAATTTCTTGTCTTTTTAAATTTAAAATTTCACATTGCTAAACTTACCTTGTATGACTAACGCAAATAACGTGATCAAGATCACTCAGAGTAAATTTCAACATTTTATTCATCAATATACTACTGGCATCAGCGAATCCAAATAAACTATGATCAGTAAAGCAAGCTTTCATTCCCATTGTACGTGAATGAAATATTGCCTCATGACATAGTGCAGAAAATGCTTGGTGACCATGTACTATATCAATTTTTTCACGTTTCACAATATTTCGAAATATTGGGAAAAAACCATAAAATGTTGGTAATGTCGCCTCGGAATATATTACCATATGTGGTACATAATATACCTTTAATCCATTAGTAAGATATCGAACTCCGGTTCGATTTCCATAAGAATGAGTTATTATTATCACTTTGTGTTCGCGTTGAATTAATCTTTGTGATAATTGATATAAATGACTTTCCACTCCTCCCATATTTGGGTAAAAGAAATCTGATACCATACTAAAATAAAAAAAAATTGTTAAAGGTAGAAGGGTACAATTAAATTAAATTAAAAATACTAACGCGATATTATATGGCATTTTGAAGATATAAAAAATGAATTCAGAAGGAAAACGTGGTTATTGAAACTAAATCTGTGCCATGTTACGCCGATCATGAGGAGAACCTTTATATATCATCGTATAATAATATATATAATTAAAAATTCGACATCAAACGCAAAACATGCTCTCATAGCTCAGTCGGTTAGAGCGTCGTGCTAATAGGATCCCTTGGTTCTTCACGCGAAGGTCGCAAGTTCAAGCCTTGCTGAGAGCATTGAAAGTATTTCTTTTTTATTTTTTTTTTTTGAAAAAATTGGGTTTAATTGGTTTAATTAAATAATAACTCATGTGATTTACGCACATAAAAATAGATTTGGGTAATAAAAATTATTTCTTCCTCTCGTCGGATTATCGTAAAATTTCTTCACGATGGTAAGTCAGTTATCTATTATTTATTTATTTTAATCGATTTAATTTAAAGGTTTTGTTAAAATTGAATGGGATATTTAAGGATGAAAGTTATTTAATTTAACATGGAGAAAAGCTCAAAATCAAAAAAAAAATTTTTTTTTTTCTTTTTGTTAATAAAAACATTTCGTTTAAACACTTTTTTTGACTTTCTTTTTTATTTTATTGGAATTACCGTTCCGTTTTACATTTTATAGCCGAAAAAGATCAATGATATTAAATTTTTTCTTGAAATCGCCCGTAGAAAGGACGCAAAATGTAATTATAATATTATCTTTATTTAATATCTGATTAACAAATCAATTAATAAAAAAAAAATTTTTTTTTTATAGCCGTTCGTATTAAGAAAATTAAGAAGAATAGTACATCAAAAGTAAAGTTTAAGCTTAGATGTTCCAAATATCTTTACACTTTTGTCATCGAAGATGCAGAAAAAGCAGAAAAGCTTCAAAAATCTCTTCCTCCAGGTTGACACTTTTTATTGATATTACCCTTGTCTTGTTTTCTTTTTAATTTTGATTTGATTTCTCATGTTAACTTGTACTGAATTTTTAGGTCTTAATGTCACCGATGTTGCTAATAATATGAAATGAAATTTATTATAATAAATGTCTGATTAGTAAAAGATTATGGATGCATATTTCTCTCTTTTTATGAGATAATATTTTTAATAAAGACTTTAAGAGTATCTCTTTCAATTCTTATCATGAGATTTAGCCTTTTTGTACAATCAAGAAATAAAACCATTTTTTTATCATAATAAATTTATTTTGATACCATGAAATACATAAATATAATTTTTTGAAATGGTTTATTACTGCGCCCTCAACTAAAGAACGCGATAATAATTCACGTGATTTTGTACAAATAAGTTAAAAAAACGCGTGTAAATTAGAATAAAATTCATTCTTTATCTTCATGCGTTATTAGTGATATATTGATATATAAATCGAACCAGTACAAACAGTTAGTAGAAGTTACCTCAACAAGTCAACGCTCAACTATAAATTGTGTAAAGGTAAGTAGAACGACATGGCAAGACAACATACAGGCTCTCCGGCCACCAGGGTGACTAAGCGTAGATTGGCAACGGTAAAAAAGTTGTCTAGACCTTTAGCAACAGGCAGTGGCAGTAGAAAGGCTCCTGTGAGGAGGTCTAGACGTAAGTTCTAGTTCTTTTTTTTTTTTTTTTTTAAAAAAAAAAAACGTTACGGTTAATTTACCGTATATTTATAACTGTGGTTTTTAATTTAATATTGTCTCTTTCTTTCTAGCTAATTAAAAATTTTTTACATTTGCTTAGCCGGGGATCCGATTAGACCACAAAAACCGAAAAGATACAAACCTGGAACTGTTGCATTACGCGAAATTAGACATTATCAAAAGACTTCTAATCTATTACTCAGGAAACTACCTTTTTCACGGGTTGTACGTATCGAATAAGTTTCGAACTAATTATGAAGATCATCTATCTAATTTTCCGCCTTTTCTTAGGTTCGAGAAATTGCAATTGACATTTTAGGACCACAATCATCGGTCAGTTCATCAGTCGGTTACAGATGGCAATCTGCAGCCATTTTAGCACTTCAAGAAGGTAAATAACTTATTTCTGGTAATCATTTTTGCTCGAGAACGAGCGCTAAATAAATTTATTTATTGTAGCTACCGAAGCTTATTTGATTCATCTATTTGAGGACGCGTACGAATTATTTGATATTTTTTTTTGTTTTTCTTTTAGAAGTTTTATCTTGGAAATCTAAAATTTTTTTTTTTTTAGAAACTTATGCGCGATTCATGCAAAGAGAGTCACAATAATGCAGAAGGATATACAACTGGCGCGAAGAATACGAGGTGTTTGGGGAGGTCTTGGATAAAAAAAAAGAAAAGATATTGTAAATTGTAATTGCAAGAATTTATTGATAATGGAAAAAACAATACCATCTTTAAAGGATTAGTTTTAATAACACTCCGGAGCACTTGCAGCCTTTTATAATTTTCTTAGATTATCATTTTCATTTTCATTTTAGATTTTTTGTTTTTAGGTAAATTGTAAATAAAATTTAAGTTGTTATGTATCAAGAGAAAGAAAAGTTCTAAGAAATAATAATTGAGCTCAATCAAAAAGTAGGTAAGAAAAATAAATTATTAAGCTGAAGCATAAAAATTTCTAATTTATTCCTTGCTCATTCTTATTTGCTTCTAATGATGCAATTGTATCCACAAACTCGTCCATGCCGTCTGAAGTTTTATTTGGTGTAGAACTGGCCTCAAATCCTTCATTCTTTTTCTGTACATTACGTTGTTGTCTATTAGGATTCTTAATAACGAGACCCGAGTCTTTTAAATAATAATAAAGTGATTCGGATAATTCATAACCAAATCCTTCCATCTCTTCCAAAGCTATTTTAGCTCTTGCATCCCCATTCAATACACATTTTTTTATGATATTGTCATAAACATCTTGTGATGGTAATATATTCTTTGATTTCATTTCCTCAAGATAAGTGAATGCCTCTTCATAATCATCTTGGGTACAAATTGTTTTAATCATACGGCAATACGTTAAACCTATTGGAACAATGTGTAAATCATGCATTTCTTGCCATAATTGATCAGCCACATCTTTTTGCTTTGCCAAACAACATATGAGTAAAAGTATATTAAATGTTTCCGTATTAGGTTTAACACCTAATTTTTCGGCCGCCTTATATGTTTCAAACGCACGAACCATATCAATATTCCTTTTGGGTGTTCCACCAACATTCGAACAAGCTGCAATAATAACGTTAAGTGCGGTTGGATCAATATCCTTTCCCTCTTTATGTAATTCCTCCAAACAATAATATGCTTGATCAATAGATTCCGAATTTTTTCGAATATGTAAGAAAATTTCGTTTGCGTCAAATAGGCTAACTTTAAGTCCTGAATTTCGCATTATATATAATGTTTCCATTGCTTTCTTAATTTCTTTAGCTTTAACGTAAGCTTGTAAGAGCGGAAAGAAATGCCATTTTTGGAACTTCACTTTTCGAACATCCATTAAATATTCCATTACTTGTACGATCAAATCAGTTTTTCCATATTTTCCAGCAAAGTATAACATATCGATACATGCACCCTCATCAAGATCTACTTTACCACGAAGTCGAAGTTTTTCCCAACAATATTGAACACCTTCAGCCTAGTGACACATTTATGCAATCAAATCAATATAATAAGTTAAATTGATAATTGAAAGGATGAAATTATAATTATTATATAGAATAAATACAATTGTTACTCACGTAATATTCATACGCATAAAATCTTAAGATATCATTATATAATGAATCCGGTACATTAATTAATTGATCATTTTCAAGATTTTTCAAATACTTTAATACTAATCCTGGTTCGTTTATTGCAATTGCTTTCCTTATAATTGCGGTATACATTTCCAAACTTTTTATCATTGAAGAATCAAACCAATCAAATGCACGTTCATACTCTTCTCCAGCCAATAATGAATCTATATAACACTCATTAGTTTTCTTTGTAGGTTGAAGACCATCTTTAGTAATCATTTCTAAAATTTGTTCTCTTAAGTATGGTTCTTGTTCACTAGAAGATGCCTGTGCGCATGTCTTTAAAGTAAACAAAAAAAAAAAAAATGTTGATTAATAAATTTCAAAGAAACTTTTTTTTTAATAAAACATTTTATTTATTAATATACCCTCAATAAATAATTATAGGTCACTATATTTGGTTTAACATCAGACAGTCTCATATCCTCTAATATCTTCATAGAATTTCTAATAGAACCAAAAGGTATATAAGAACGAAGTATTGTATTATATATATTTAAATCTGGTTTACGATCTGATTTTTTAAGATTTTCACATAATTCATAAATTGAATCCCATTTTTTTTCTTTTGAAAATTCGTCCATATCTTTTGTAAATTTATTTAGAAACATTTTTGCTCTGAGCTCTTCAGCATTTGAATAAGTGTATATATTATTGGTATTAACTTCTGTAGTCGTTACTATAAACGCATGATATTACGCGTAAATTAAAAGAAAAGAAAGCACAGATTAATAAGAGGAATGTTTCTTTTTGACAAACGTTGAATTTCTTTTTTTCTTTTGTAGGCACAACAGTTAAAAATATAACTTGCCAGTAAACAAGCGTACTGAAGACCCTCGCGTTATCCTCTGTGTTTGCAAAAAAGTAGTACTAAGCCTTGTAAATACATTATTTTTTTGTAAGGATAAATGTCTTCTTAAAGAGTTTCCCAACATCATTAAATATTTTTTAAAGAATTTGTTTTAATTATATGAATTTTTTAGGAAAAAAAAAAAAAAAAAGAGAGAGAATATTGAAAAAGATTATCGCGAAAATTTTTGAATCAATGTATCACGCACGCAGAAGATCTCTGCACGTGTCAATTACAAATTAAGATCAACTCATCCATCAAAGCGGGTGTACAGTTAAACGTATCGACTCAATTTTTGAACGTGTGGATTGCAACCTATAATAATTATCTAAATAAAAAAATAAATTTGAAATGTTATCCTGGATTTATTTATAAAAAGATTTGAAAGTTTTGTAAAATACAAGGACACGTAATTATGCAAATTACTGTACAAAATATGTGTTTTATAAAGGTCTCGACGCCAATAGATATTGACAAAATTGTAATAATTCGCTAATAGTGAAAATTATTTTTTTTATTCTGGAAAGAAAGTGTAAAAATTTTTTACTTACGTGTCACACCTATTAAAGATTATTATATTTTTTCTCAATTCATGATATTAGCAAAATGGAAAAACAAATGAAACCCCCTTATGAGCAGTTTCTAAGTTAGCCAGAATGTTTTTCCAGAATCGACGATGTCATTTCTTTTCTAAGAATTGCATCCCGCCAATAATACCACGTTCTCTTTTAGGCCAATCGTCATGATAAAAATGGCGCGTTATGCATGTCTCTTTCAAACCTCTTTAACATAATGTTGTAATTCTTCGATTGATGTGCGAAAATTGGCTTTCTATCGGTACATGTACACCTAAATTTAGAAAAATAAATATTTCAAAAAGAAAAATAATTCTAAGAAGGGATTTTCTTCGTCGCATGATCTTTTCAATAAAAGAATATAATGTCATTTATAATTAAGTTTTTACCCTCCTTTACTGGATCAAAGAAAGAATCGGTAAACGCAATTTAATTTTTGAACTTTATCTATTCAATAATTGTGTATATTCAACATGATGGAGGATCAAATAGAAAAAATAGAAATACAGACGTTTTAGTACCTTATTAAAAATTAAATTAATAAATTAATAAATAAAATAAAATAAAAGGTATATTAAATCTAAAAGATTTCTGTTAAAAGTTGCTTGAGATTTGCCTCTTGTTTTATTACGTGTTTACTTTTAGATTTTACCTCAATAATTTTTTTTTTTTGTTTAAAATCGATCCTAAAACCAGTCATGAAATATCGATCTATTAATCGATCTTAAAGATCGTCTTCCGGTCCAATATCCACCCCGCAGATCGTTATAGACCGGATCGGATAAGTTCATTAACATTCTTATGGTGGCTTGTTTAAACTTATAAAAAGTTATTTAAGTCAATGTTATTAATTATGTCGTCGTTATGTCAACTTCTAAGCTTATGAAAAATAAAATTCTCGTATTAGGACGCCGAGGGGCAGGAAAATTATCTATTATAAAACGTAAAAAAAAAATGAAATCGTCCTTTTATATAAATACATATATATTTTTAAGAAAAATTTAATTAATTGATTTTTTTTTAAATCTTTTTATGGGGTAACAGAAATATTATCAATCACAAATCAATTAAATAATGATCTCAATATAGAAGATAAAAATCATTCAGGAATAAAAATACCATGGAATATTCATACAAAATATTATAATGCAAAAGTAGATTTTTGGATTGATGAAACTGTACAGAAAGAGCATGTTAATAAAGAGGTGATAAAAGGGTATGAAAATGAAGAAAATGGCATTGGAAAAGTTGTTGACGCTATACTTTTTATATTTAAGAAAGATGAGGTACATTTAAAAAAGATCAAATTCATTTTTTATGATTTTTTGACGATGTTCTTTAAACAAACATTCTTTTTTTTTTGGATAATTCAGCCAACAACTTTTGATGATGTAAAAGCGTTTATACCTTTCATACAGCAATTTGAACCTGCTATAACGTTGGCTGTTGGAACTGGAAAATGTGTTCAAAATATTGATTATGAAGATTGGTGCTTGGAAAATGGATTTGAATACGTTGATATGGAAGTTAACGAGAAAGAACAAATGAATGGTAATTTTCATTGTTCGTTGTAACTTGCATTGACCTGTTTTACCAATTTCCTTCTCTTTTTTTTTTGATAATTAGAACGCGTCGGTTCGGAACGAATTCTTGAAGCACTTCAATCAAACATGTGGGATGGAATGATTCGCGTTACACAAAACGCTAATAAACCTTCCGATTTAGAGAATGATGATTATCATAACGAGCTAATCGAAGGTAAATTTTTTAATGTATCGATTACTCTTTGAATCTCTCTTAATTAACTGAACTTTCACTTTCATAATAGCTATTTCACATTCGAGTCTGAATCATGCGAATGAGGAGCAGGAACCTCCGTCATCTCAATTGCATGATCATAATTCGGCCCCATTTGATGATGATGCCGAATTTTTTGGTGATGGTAAATATGATCACTATAACTTCTACATTGATACAACTTTATATTAATTTTTTTTTTGAATTTCACTATATAGCATTACCCTCTCAGCAAGAAATCGAAAATATGCATCGTAAACTTTTTAGTGATTTTGATGATGAGGATGGACTTGATAAAGTCTTTACACGATTAAGTAATTTACGAGGTAAGATTGAAAGGTATTAAATTAACAATAATTCCTAGTGTTTTACCAATAATCTCTAATCATTCGTTAATCTATCTAGAGAAAGGTAAAACGTTATCGGATGAAGAAAGACGGAAATTAGCGGCGAGCGTAGCTTGTTCTTTTGGGATGCATATGGGGGATTAATCTATTTATTTATTATATATATTAATTTATCTTTAATGTACATTCAACCCATATTCGTATTATTTTTTTATTTTTTAAAAAAAAAATTTGGCACCAATTTTAAAATTTATTAAATTATTAAAAATAAAAAATTTTATAATTGATTTCATGGAAGTAATTCAATATTAACACTCTTTAAAGCATTAACTGCCCAAGTGGGATAATTGTTTTTACCACCAAATAATTCCTTAAAAAAATTTTGTACAAAAGGAGGAAATTCATCATTTATAATAGCTTTTCTAATATTATCCATTAACCTTAACTGATATGATACATTATGTATTGTTATTAAATGACACCCAACCGTTTCTCTCGTTGCATGCATATGGATATATGCCCTTGTGTATGTTTTGCATGTTAAACAACTACAACCCTTTTCAATTGGCTCAAAATCTTGCGCAAATTTTGTTGATTTTAAATTTAGTGATCCTTTTGGCGTTAATGCGTTACCAAATCTCTAGAGATAAATATATTGTTTATATACTTTGAGGAAGGAAAAAAAAAGAAAAATGTTATATATGACCTACAGCAGTACGCGTTGGAAACACGCAATCGTACATGTCTACCCCTAAAGCTGAACAAACCACGAGATCTTCGGCGTATCCAACACCCATGCAATATATTGGCTTATTCTTTGGCAACTGGTCAGTACAAAAAGTTACTCTTTGTTAAAATGAATATATGTTAATAATGTTATAATGTTAAATAGATTAAAAAATGTGATTAATAATAAATTTCATTACTTACATTCTCCAAAAAATATCTTTCTCTTCACCACCACTTAATCCTCCAATCGCGTAACCAGGTGTATCGCGTTTAACCATTTCTTTATACAAAAGATTTAAGTTTCATTTTATATTCACTTTTTACATCAAAAAAAAAAATATGACATCACGGGCCAAATATAATTAACTCTTTAAAATCTTCTAAGAATTTGAATATCTGGATACTTTACATGGAAAATTTTTAAAATTTTGTGATACTTATTATGGCCCGCGATTTACGGTAATATAAATAAATAAGTTTTTCTTTTCTTTTAAAAAGTTACCTTCAATACATTTTCTTCTCAAATCCATATTTAATCCACCTTGAATAATAGCAAATAAATTTTGTGATTCGGGTTTCTTATGAGCGTTGATGCATCTATCTAACCATCTGATAGATCTATACATTGCTTCTTCAACTCTCGGTCCCGTAGTAAGTGATGACACTACATCGTCTAATTGCATAATAATATCTGCCCCAATTGAATTTTGTAATGACATTGAATGCTCAGGAGTAAGCAACATCGTAGATCCATCATGTGGTGATTGAAATTCTACACCTTCTTCGGTTATTCTTGCAAGTTTCAACAAAGATACCATTTGAAATCCTCCACTATCCTATTGAAACCAAAAAATAACAATAATAATTAAATTACTAAAAAAAAAATCTTAATGAATCAAATGACTTACAGTTAATAAATTCCTATTCCAATTTTGAAATTTATGTGAACCGCCAAAATTTTCAATTAATTCTTGTCCAGGTTTTAACCCCTAATATAAAAACGAATTAAAAAAAAAATTTTTGAAAAGAAAAAAAGCTTTAAATAAATCGAAGCATAAACTTTACCAAATGATATGTATTATTTAACATTATTTGACAACCTAATTCTTCTAATTGTTTTGTTGTCAGGCCTTTTAACGTTCCTTGAGTTCCAACCGGCATAAATACTGGAGTATTAACGGGGCCATGCGGTAAAGTTAAAATTCCTACTTTAGCTTTTGTTGTTGAACAGTTTGCGATAACTTTCCAGGTTAATGCAGACCTCATTGTTTTACAAGTTACGAAGTTACTAAAACTTGTTATTTCATTTAAGTTATCCATCCAATCATGCTTAACTGATTTCGCCAGCCAATAAAAAATTTCTGATATTCAACATAATATGACTGATTATGTTAACTAGCAGTATTTTTATTTTCCAATACCCACATAATAATTTTTTTTTTTATATAATATTTCTGAGTTAGTGTATTTTATTAATTCTGATCATTAATACGCTTTAACTAAATTAGGTTAGATATTTTTTAAAAACTGTATTTTTTTTAATATATATTTATAGGTTTTTTTAAAAAAAATTTTATTTGATATAATAAAATGAGGTCATTTGAAGTATATTTAGGTTATTTTTAAAAACAAGTAAATGAACCTCATGATTTGCTATGACTGTGATAAGGATCTGTTTTAAAGAAATTTTTTAGACTTTGGTATTCAAAAATAATATCTGGATTAGTTATAAAGACAAAGGAAACAAAGTGTGATATTATCTACTAAGTATATTATAGGCTTGATCAGGTGAACATTTAATACAAGACAAACTTTATATAAAGTTAAGCTTTGCGTTTTATAAATAGTAAATCTGTAATCAAAAATACTAATGCTAAAACTTTAAAAATGATGACAATATATATTAAACCTTTACAAAAAGAGCAATTTTAAAAATATCAAAGTCAAAAAATATTCTATTAATTATATAAAAATAAATAAAAGATTTTATATAATTGCTCATTATTTTATTTAAATAAAAATTTATAAAATCAATTTTTATTTAATTAATTATATATATTATATTTTGTATATTTTAAGAAAAAAAGATATTTAATTAAAAAAAATTGATGAAAAGTAATAATAAAGGTAAAAAAAAATAATTAATGATGCTGTTCAAAACCTATTTTAACGTGTAGTTTAAAAAATTGAAAAACTATTTTAAAACCTTTAAAATAACTTTTTTTTAAATCTGAAACTTGATAAAACTTAATTAAGTTTAGGAAAACCTATTAGAAGTTTAAGTAAAGATATTTATTATAAACAAATAGTTTTATCTCAAACATCTCAAAACTCAAATTTTCTAAAAATAGTTTAAGGAGGCATCTTTAATTATAATTATATTATTTAAAATAAAAGAAGAAAGAAATTTTTAAATTAAAAAAAAAAATAATTGAAAAGACAGAATTATTAATTTTCTAAGAAGATAATATATTAATGATTTTTATAATTTAATAAGAGACTCACTAATTAAAGAAAAGAAAAATGTTAATATTTTATTTGAAATCAGATTTGATTTTAATGTGATAGCAAGGATTTAGAATCATTAAAATTTCATCTAAATTAATAATATTGATTTTTTAAAAAATTCTTAGAATAATACTTTGAGTCAAATAATTTGTTTATTAAAATAATAATTATCAAATGACAGCTAATTTAATAGTATATTTTAAATGATAAGACTATTCTATTATAAATAATAATTATTGTGATTATATAAGAATTCTAATATTTTACAACTAGTTAAATAATACTGATAAGCTTTCATTATGATATATTTTTATTAAATATTTAATAAAAACTAAAGGATTACTTATTTTATCATCTGAATTTTATGATATTATTAGTAAATTCAGAAAAAATAATAATGCAAATTATATTCTATTTGTAACTGATGTTTGCATTAATAAATATTAATTCTTAGAAGAATTAAAATTTAATATAATCTTCTATTATTTTTATTTTATATAATTAATACTATTAACTTTTCTTTTATAATTATTAAAAATCAATTAATCTGCAAATTAGAGAAGTTGTTATATTTATTTATGAGTTTATAACAGATTATATGCTAAATTATTAATTAAATATTACAAATATAAATGAATTATAGACTTAAAATTCAATAGTGATTTGTGTAAATTATTTTTAAAAGCTTTTATTATATATTAAGAAAATAGAAAATAGAAGTTTTAGATATTTAATATGTAATGATTTATATTATCAAGAAATAATAAAATTTGACAATAATTTGTAATTTTAAGTGATTAGATAAGCATTAATCTAATATTTTATTAATATTTTAAATTACAAATCTATTAAAACAATAATTTTTTAGTTTTTATTACTAATTCAAGTTAAAGAATAAAATCAAAAGTTTAGAAAGATGTCTAAATAGTAAAAGTAAAACTTATTAAATTATATTAAAACCTTATTAAAAAATCTGTGAAATTAAAAAAAAAGTAAAAGCTTATAAAAATGGCAAAACTATATCAAACACTTAGTAAATTTAGCGAAACTAAAAGTTTAAACATTTAGTCAAATCTAAAATAAGTTTAAATAAGCAACCTTATTGCTAATATTTGCTTTTATTCTAATTTATTATTAATATTTATTATGTTTTTATTTTATCTAATTTTACATATTAAAATATTTGCTTTTTTTAATATTTCAAAATAATAAATAATAAATACTATCAATTAAATTATTAAATTTAATTTATTTATATTCTTCATAATCAAATTATTTCTATTATTTTTTAATTTAATTACAAAACAAATAAAAATATTATATTTTATATTTATAAATATAAATTTGAAAATATTTGGTGGTAAACATATAACTATTAAATGATAAAATACCAGTGAAAATTAATATTAGAATAATTTTTTAGTAATTTTAAAAGTAATTTGAATTTGATTTGAATTTTTTAAATTAAATTAAATTAAATTAAATATTTGATTAAATTGACCAATCTAATTAAATCAAATATTACAATATTTAATTAATTAAATCAAATCAAATTATAAATCAAATATTTATAAAATGAAATTAAATTAAATTAAATCAAATCAAATATTTAATTAAATATTTAATAAAATAATTTTTTTTAATTTATATAATTAAATATTAAAATAAAATTATTTTTAAAGTTTTAATTAAGAAAATCATTAGTAATATATATAAAAAATTCCAATAATAGCCTTTACTAAATAAATTTAATAACAATATCTCTATAGTTTTAAAAGTAATTTTTCACTAAAAAAACTTAATAAAAACTACTTTTGCAGCTTTAGAGATATTTTTATTAAAAAAATCCCTAATAAATAATATTTCTATAAATTTAAAAATATTTTTTATATAAAAATATCTTGTAAAAATACTTTTATAATTTTAAAATCATTTTTTACTAAAAAATATCTTGTAAAGTTACAATTTTAAAAAATCTCATATTTTATAAGTATTCAGAATTACTTTGCATAAATATGCAAATTTAAAGGCTTAAGAACTTAGAATATTTATTTATTCTTAATGATAAATTTAAAAGTAAGTTTAATGTAATTAAATATTAGAAAAAAGTTATATAAAAGAAAAAGTAATTATATTTTAAAGTTAATTCCTTTATTTATTATTAAAATTTACAAAAAGTTTAATTTACAATTTACAATTAATTTTATAATTCATAAACTACTAATAAATTGTAATTGAATGTAACTAAAAGTATTTATAATAAATTTACTATAAATAAAGATAAAGCTTTAATTAATTTTAAAATTTATAATTAGTTGTAACTATTTATGAATTTTTATATTAAATAAATTTTTACAAGGAGTTATAACTTATCAAGTTACAACTTCTTAATTATAATACCACCATCTTTAATTATAAATATTATGACTGAATAGGATTAATTATAACTGAAAAATTATTAATAGTTTAAGAATTATGAAATTAACTGCAAGCAAAAGTTATTCTATCTATAATTAATTATTCATTATATTATAAATTAACTAAATTTATAAATACAATTATAAAATATAAAAAATAATAAATATACTAAATAATAAAAATAATGATTATATAAAAGAAAATAAATATATTCATAAAAATAAATATAAAAATAAACCAGAAAATAAAGTAAATAAAGTATAACACTGTTTAGATTATATGTATAAATAAAAAATTATATGCTTTCTTATAGCTTATTTTTATATTATGACAATTTATCTGCATATTAAATCATAAAATATCAATATGATTTTATACATATATTAAAAAATATTAAAGATTATATAAATACAATAATTAATTGTGAATTTTTACATATTATAGCTAGATATTTTCATATAATCAGCTATATATTTCTCTATCAAAAGTTACTTTATATTAATATATTAAAGTTAGAATTCTGAATGAGCTGAGCCAAATTTTAAGTCAAATAAGTTGAATTAAGTCAAGTTAAAAAAATTTGACTTATTTAACTTGAGTTAAATTTTAAGTTAAGCTCGACTTGGCTTAAGATAATTCAATCAAGTAAAAATTTAACAATTTTTTTAAAGGAAGTCATAAATTCTGAGCAAAAAGGTAATCTTTTTATATAATTGAATTTTCTAAAATATTATAAAATTCATGAATAGAAAAAAGTTTTTTTTTTCCTTAAACCTATTATGTAAATTGATATATTTATAGAAATAAATTCTCTTATGACATACTAGATCAATTTTTTCATCAATATATCCTTAATCCTTGAAATACCATACCATTCTAAATATAAGCACCTTAATTTTACTATTGTAGTAGTACTTATTTTCGGGTATTTTTTATAAATTATTTGTTCGCAGCACATCAAAGATCGTAATATGTCATAAATAGCCATTTTTGAGTGTAACATATGTAACGTGATGAACTTTCGCGTTAACTTTAAAAAAAATGTCATGAAACCTGAATTTAAATGCATTGTTCAATTAATATGATTATTACTAAACAAAGCCGCAGTTCCTATACTCTCAAACAAAAAAAAAGTAATTAATTATGCTATAGAGAATGGAAGAAGTGCAGCGACAAGACATTATAACATTAATAATAGCATGGTTACTCAGTGGATTAAGGCAAGTGAAAAATGGGTTGAAAAGAATCAAACTATTAAAAAAGTTGGTTCTAAGTGAAAAGAATTTTATCCTGAAGCAGAAAAAAAACTTTATAATTGGATTATAGAGCAAAGAAAAATT